TCCGTACGATAATAAGGTTGAGTGGTACTACATAAGGAATAAAAGATATTAATTAACTAAAGCAGTCAGAAGCTTTAATAATTAATGGACGTGCGATATCTTAAACACGGGGAATTATATCGAGTCTAATAGAAGCCCTGATTCATTTCGGGATAGGACGGGAGTGCAATATTAATTCTCTAGTGGAATGAATTAATATTTACGGGCCAAATTGTGTTCTGGGCTGAAGATAAGTATTTGGGCCTGTAAGGAGCCCAAACCCTATAAGAGATCCCTAGTCTGGCCCAAGGACCTCTATAAAAGGAGGGGACCTCCCACGTTTTATACCCTAGCAATTTCGTGAGATACTCCAGCCACCATCGTGGAGAGAGTAACGAGAAGGGTTGAGAAAGACGAGGGCAGTCTACTTCTTTCAACCGTTTGGAGGATCGTCGTCCATCCGGCGTCCAAACGTGGTCGGGACACTTAATAGAAGGTCGCTCAGATCGAATCAAACCTCCTTTTCAAGGTAATTCTTTGTTCGTCCTTTAGGAGCATGCTTAGGGTTATTCGAAATCATGTATGTACGTTTTTGGTATCCGATATCGATCCGTGGGAAGGACCGCCTCGTCGGCGTGTTCCAGCACGTCGAGGCACTTGGAGGAGGAGCATTAGGAGAGCAATCGTAGCTTCCCAACACGAATCGGGATAAACCAGAGCCCGATTCGCTAGACGACATCAACGATGACAACCTGGATGCCGACCATGATGATGATGCGTCTCTCTATTTCCTCAATGTCCATGATATCATCAGGTCGACCTCGCCTCAAGGCCTTGCACTGCTGAGGGAGGAGCTACACGTGGTAAGCACCAACGAGCCTACCTCATTCGCTGAGGCAGAGTGTTGCCCCAGTTGGTGGAAGGCGATGATGGAGAAGATAGAGTCCATCGAGGAAAATGATACATGGTGCCTCGCTGACCTCCTACCCGACCGCAAGGATATCAGGCTAAGTGGGTGCTTAAGGTGAAGAGGGACAAGCAGAAGGCGCGCCTCGTGATGAAGGGCTACACACAATGGCACGACATCGACTACGATGAGATATTCACATTGATTTTCAGGCTGGACTCGGTGCACCTCCTTATCACCCTTGTAGCGCATGAGGGATAGGATGTACACCACATGGACGATAAATCAGAGTTCTTGAATAGCGATATGTAGGAGAAAGTCTATGTCGAGCAGGCGACTGGTTTTGTCATCACCGACACTGATAACAAGGTTCTCAAGCTTTGGAAGGCATTGTAATTTCTACATCAAGCGCCACAGGCCTGGAAATCAAAGTTGGATGTCACGCTGATGTCGCTCAGCTTCAAGAGGAGAGTGTCGGAACATGCCATCTACATCAGGCGGAACAATGACTCCCAACTGATGGTTGGGGTCCACGTCGATGATCTCGTGAACACTAGCTCGAGTTGCGGCAACATGAAATCGTTCAAGAAGGAGATGGCGATCGCGTTCAAGATGAGTGATCTCGATCTACTTCACTACTACCTCGACATTGAATTGAAGCAGAGCGCGAGGGAAATCTCGCTCAGCCAAGGCTCCTATGCTGGCAAGATTCTAGAGAAGAGCAACATGGCTGGGTGCAATCCCTGCCAAGTGTCTGTTGAGGCACGACTGAAGTTGAGCAAATTCAGCTCGAAGCCGACATTCGACCAAGTGGCGTACAAAAGCATTGTTAGGAGCTTGAAGTACTTGATTAATACTCGCCCCGATCTGGCTTTTTCCGTTGACTATGTTAATGGATTCCTAGAGGACCTTTGTGAAGATCACCTTGTTGTCGTGAAGCACATTCTGTGTTACGTGGTAGGATCCCTGAATTGGGGACTCTGGTTTGGTAGGAAGGAGGGGAATGAAGCTTACTTGACGGATTTTAGTCACAGTGATTATGCTTGGGATGATGCTAACAAGAGCACAACAAAGGTGATTTTCTTCCTCAACAGCAGCTTGATCATCAGACAATCCATGAAGAAGAAGGTGGTGACACCGTCAAGCATTTTGGCTCACTAAGTTGTTGGTTGAGGTGCACAGATCAGCACCAAGAGCGTCAATGTTGAGGGTAGACAACAAGTCTGTCATTGCCTTAGAACTCAGTACTCCATAAACATGGCAAACAGATTCGAGTGAAATATCATTTCGTCTGGAAGTATTCAGGGGAAGGCTTGATAATGTCGTTTTCATCAAGAGCGAAGAGTAACTGGGCAACATTCTGACGAAGCCACTTGGGAGGACCAAGTTCCATGACCTGAGCTCTAAGATCGACTTGATCA